GGTGTGTTCCAGCGCGGTGGGGAGCTGGTCGTACTCGCAGCAGAGGCGGCAGAGGGTGTGCTCTGGGGAGGGGCCGCCCAAGACCGACCTCATGGCCTTCAGCCCCAGCCTTCCACAGTCTCGAGAAGATTGTTTAAATCCTTCCAGTGAAGTAAGTCATTGATATCATTTAAGTATATTTGTTTTCCTTAAGAATGTGCTTTTAGGTTATAACTACATTCTCTCTGTTTATTGCTTTTATAGTGTTACCCTTGAACCATTTAATATTTCCTCTTGTATGGTTTCATCGTTGTTAGTCTTGAAACTTTCACGTATTTGACCAACATTACTTTAATGAAAGAAACAGGAAGATATAATGAAGGCCGTAGATCTCCAAACTTTGAAATTTTTTTCTCTCATTTTTCTACTATTTATGAATGGTTAACCTTGCAAAATAATAGCATGTTAGATTAAAAACTGGCCTGGAGTTTGACAACTCAAATTTATTTTTAATTTGGTTATAATTTCAGGATTATAGGCAAGTTGCAAAAATAGTACAAAGAGTGTCTAGATATTAACTGGCACCTGAACTGTTCCTCATGTGCTTAGGCTATTAAAATAGCCTTTGTTATGACCATTCTAATTTCAGTACAATTCATATATTATAACACTACTATATTCCAAATATTTTAACAATAATAAAAATAACATGTCTTTGATTCTAAGATCAATAATTTTTTAAATGATTGTTCACACAGAGTCCCTTCTTTCAAGTGGGACTGACTACTCTACTATCCTTATTTACGTAAAATATAATAAAATTATTTCTCAACTTAAAAATAGTTAAGCATCACTTACATTAAGATGTGTCTTATAACTGAAGTAATTGAAGGTTTATAATAATTTATTTGGCCTTTTTCCCCCCTTGGAGGTGCATAAGTAATGGTGCATATTACAAGTAATGGCATTTTTGGATTCAATAAAATACATGAATACTTACTGATCCCTATTACTTTCCAGGCCCTGTGCTGAGATTTAAATTGCATTATCTCATTAATTTAATTATCAAATGAATCCCTTCATGCAGGTACAATAATTATCATCCCCATATTACAGATGAGATACCTAAAACCTGAGCCACATAGTGAGAAGGGGCTCAAACACAGTTTTGGAGGATCCCAAACCCATTATGGTATGCTACTGCTTTGTGCCTATTACCAGATAAATCTTCTAAAGCACATTTTGCATTTTGTAACTTTCTTTCACAAAAAAAATCTAGAGGCTTCTCTGTAACCCAGGAATAAAGCCTTATATTCTTGAGCCTTGTAGTGAAGGCATTGTACTTTCAGCCTTTCGCCTACTCTCTCACTTGTCTTTAGTTTAGGACCTGGAGTATAGCATATATTCAATCAATAATTTTAATATAAATATGTGGTATTGAAATGTACTGCCTGGGCAATCCCCTCCATTTAGAAGTGGGGATAAGCTTCAGAGATTAGGCAATTTTTTATTGAACAGTGCCTTGAAGGATAGATAACATTTCAACAGGAAAATATTACACATGGAAAGATAAGTGTGAATAAATAAGAAGTTTGCTCTGGTAAGTGTGCACTTGAAGGTTTAGAGCAGGGGAGATTCTGAAGGCAGGAAAGTTAGTAAAGAATCTTTTATAATAATTTAGGTATTAAATAAAGGAGGCTTGAATTATGGCAGTAGAATTGGACCCAAAGAAACATGTACAAGAGGCATTGGCAAAGTAGAAGCAGCCAGAAAATGAATGAATTAAAACAAATGATAAGAGAAAGACAGCAGTAGAAGTTGACACTCACTTTTTAAATTTGGTCAGCTGGGAGGGTAAGATTTCCATTGACCAAGATACAAAACACAGTTGGAGAAACTGAGTTTGTGCAGGGAGGGAATGGAGATGAACATTTAAGAAAATGTTACACTTGAGTTCCAGGGGAATTGTATTGTGATTAGAAATATGGGTCTGGAACTCAGAGGAGATTATAGATGTAGATTTGGGAGTAATTCTCTTAGAGAAAAAAATATGAATCCATAAAAGGAATGGAGATGAACATTTAAGAAAATGTTACACTTGAGTTCCAGGGGAATTGTATTGTGATTGGAAATATGGGTCTGGAACTCAGAGGAGATTATAGATGTAGATTTGGGAGTAATTCTCTTAGAGAAAAAAATATGAATCCATAAAATGATAAAATCACCAACAGAGATATTGAAAAATGGAAAGCAATATCTCCAAATAAAGAATTTAGGTAAGAAGGTGTGTTGGTTCCTGGCACTGCTGTAACAAATGACCAAAAACTAGGTGGCATAAGGAAACAAAAAATAATTCTCTCACAGTTTTGAATACCAGAAGTCCAAAACGAAGGTGTTGGCAGGACCGTACTCCCTCTGGAAGCTCTAGGGGAGAATCTGTCCTTGGTCTCTTCCGGCTTCTGATGGCTGTTGGTGTTTCTTGGCTTGTGGCTGCACCTCTCCAATCTCTGCCTCCACAGTCACATTGCCTCCTCCTCTTCTCCATGTCTTCTCCTCTGTGTGTTTGTTCTTTAAGTGTACGTGTGTGTGTAGGGCACACCTGAATAATTCAGGATAAACTCCTCTAAGGATCCTTAATTTACTCACCTCATTTGCCATATAAAGTAATATTCACAGGTTCCAGGGGTTAAGATGTAGGCATATCTTTTGGGGAGCCAGCATACAACATACTACAGTAGGCTTAAAATCATAAGGGTGATAGACAACAAGCAGCTGAAATAAAACTTAAGGAGCAATACGTCAAGTAAATATTAGAAGTTAAAGGTAAAGGGAAGGAAGTAAACATAACAGAGTTCTTCCCCCCACCAGAAGTAGCATGTTTACATTTTTGTATATATATTTTAGTTAGAGATGTTTGAGTATCTTTGCAGTATGAGAAAAAGAAGAAAATAAAGAAGGAGATACTAAAGAGAAGACAGACAGCAAGAGAATGAAGATAAAAAATGTGAAAGAGAGGTGAATAGAAAATAATTAATTTTTAAAAAGCATATGGTTCTTCTTAACAGTGGGGACAGTTTTTCCTTGGAACAAGTAGGGAATGAAAAATATAGAATAAAGAAAAATGATGATATAAGAAGAGAGCCATTGAGTTCATGTTTGATGACTTATCTCTCAGTGCGTAAATCATCTGAAAGTCAGGTGGTGGGGATGAGATTGAGAATCTGAGAAGAGAGGGAACAGAATATGGCAGAATCTCTGCAGGCAAAAGGAAAGGGTTAACTATGAATTCATTTGAGGACCCAACTGAGGCAAAGGTGAGAGTAAACTGTTGAGAATATAGTCATCATGGTTAAGTAACAACTTTATACCAAGCAGTTCAATAGGAAAAATAGAGAAAATGGATTCTTAGGTTAACTGTGTGTTGGAGGCTGAAGTGAATGCAGTGATATAAGTAGGTGAGTGATTCTAGGGTGTCTGGAAGGGCATATTTTAAATGGTTGACTGTGTAGTCCAGTTTAGATGGGGAAGTAATCCACCAGCGAAGTAATGTAGGGCCTGACGGACAAGAAGAATTGGAAAGAATCAAGGAATTATTCCCATTGTAAGAAATGGGAATAATTCCCCTTGTAAGAAATGGGAATTATTCCCATTGTAAGAAATGGGAATTATTCCCATTTCAAGCTATGAAAGTAGAAGGAATGGGGCAGAAGAGGAAGATGAGAACAGGAGAAGATCAAATACTCCATCCAAATTTTCAGAGGAGGGCAGAGGTACAGGAATGAACCCAACTGTCATTTCCTATAGAATTGTACATAGAACAGGCAAGATAATTTCTGGAGCTATGCTATGTTTTTCACTGTGCTATTTGGACTGGAACTCTGGCTTGGCAGAGATAGTTATAGCAATAAATAAAAGTAAGATGCCTTTCCTCTCTCTCTTGTTAAAGATGTGTTAAATTCTTTATCTAGCTAAAATGAGAGTCAATTTAAACTATAGTAAAGTTTTTCCTAGCGATGATGCAGTTAGGTGGGGATGGAAAAGGGGAAGTTTAACCTATTGGCAGTAATTTAAATTCTATTAAATATATATGATGCTAGTTCTTGGCATGTTTTATACCAAAAATACTCCAAAACTTTAAAGCACCGTTGTGTCTAAATGGTCTAGATGATTGTGTGTTTACACACATACACATACTTACATACAAACTCATACACACATTGAATGAACACTTCCTTTCATATACTATATTTTATCTATGTTTCACAGTTACTCTGGGAGGAATTTATAAATTTGGTAAACTTATTCAGCATCTGGTAACTGCATATCATTTACCAATATTTTCTACCTTCGTTCATTTTATTCTTATACGATAGTTATGTTTCCATTTGGAATCAGTGACTGATGTGTGAGGAGGCCGTGAAAAATATAACAAGAAGAGGACGTTCCCACCAAAACCTACATGACTATGCAGAACTAGAGATTGATTGTTCCAAGACGAATGTCGAATATTGTCCTTCTTTTAAAATTCTGCATAAGGGCTGGCTGGTGCGGTCAGTTGGTTAGAGCTCCGCCTTGTAACACTAAGGTCGAGGGTTCGGATCCCCGTACTGGCCAGCAGCCCGCAGCCCCCCACACTCCCAAAAAAAGAAAAGAAAATTCTGCAAGAAAGTCTTACACATGCAAAAGTAAATTGGTGGAAAGATGAACTCATCAACCAATTGTCAACTAACATCCAAAGCTGCTCAGAATACAGTGATTTATTGTTTCTGAAAAGCTAACATTTAATGTGCAATTACGTATTTGCAGTGAAAAAGTCAGGAAATGCAAGGACAAAAACTCTACATCAATGGAAAATATGAACCGAGTCATTCTTACACTTACATATTTGTGCGCATGGTGTCGCTCTTCACTGAGAACGTTTCGGCGAGGAAAGAGCCGCCGTTTCTTCCTCCAGAAAATTTGGCAATTTGAGAATCCTACGTCACTAGGAGATGGTAAAACCGGACCTTGAGAGGCAGTTAGAGGTAAGGCATTCTATATACTACAGATAACTCTGAAGCCTTTCGAGTGTACCATGCTGTTTTCCTGGCGTGGAGGCCCAAGAGCCCAGCGCCTGCTGTTCTCGCTTCTGCTCCTCGCAGCCTGGGAGGCGGGGAGCGGCCAGCTCCACTACTCGGTCACCGAGGAGGCCAAACACGGCACCTTCGTGGGCCGCATCGCGCAGGACCTGGGGCTGGAGCTGGCGGAGCTGGTGCCGCGCCTGTTCCGGGTGGCGTCCAAAGGCAGAGAGGACCTTCTGGAGATAAATCTGCAGAATGGCGTTTTGTTTGTGAATTCTCGGATCGACCGGGAGGAGCTGTGCGGGCGGAGCGCGGAGTGCAGCATCCACCTGGAGGTGATCGTGGACAGGCCGCTGCAGGTTTTCCATGTGGAGGTGGAGGTTAAAGATATTAATGACAACCCGCCCGTCTTCCCTGAAAGTAAGAAAAGAATAAATGTTGCGGAATCTAGACCTCCGGAAACTCGATTTCCACTAGATGGCGCATCGGATGCAGATGTTGGAGTAAACTCAGCATTGACCTACCGACTCGACCCCAACGATTATTTCGCATTAGATGCACAAAACAATCGTGAGCAAACATCTTCTTTGTCACTTGTGCTGAGGAAAATATTGGACAGAGAGGAAATTCAGGAACATAGTTTATTACTGACAGCCAGTGATGGAGGTAAACCAGAGCTCACCGGCACAGTTCAGCTGCTGATCACAATTCTGGATGTGAATGACAACGCCCCAGAATTCGACCAATCCATTTATAAAGTGAGAGTGTTAGAGAACGCATTTAATGGAACATTAGTGATCAAGCTAAATGCCACAGATCCTGATGATGGTATAAATGGAGATATAGCATATTCATTTAGAAGGCCTGTATCGCCTGCAGTGGTAAATGCATTTATCATAAATCCCAACAGTGGAGAAATTAGGACAAAAGGTAAACTAGATTTCGAAGAAAAGAAATTATATGAAATATCCGTGGAGGCAATTGACAAAGGGAATGTTCCAATGGCGGGTCATTGTACCCTTTTGGTGGAAGTATTAGATGTAAATGATAACTCCCCAGAAGTTATCATCACTTCTCTGTCACTCCCCATTAGAGAAGACACCCAGCCTAGGGCTGTCATCGCCCTGATCAGCGTGTCGGACCGTGACTCTGGCGCCAATGGACAGGTCACCTGCTCATTAACACCCCACGTTCCCTTCAAGCTGGTGTCCACCTTCAAGAATTACTATTCTTTGGTGCTGGACAGCGCCTTGGACCGTGAGAGCACAGCACACTACCAGTTGGTGGTGACAGCGAGGGATGGGGGCTCGCCTTCGCTGTGGGCCACCGCCAGCGTGTCCGTGGAGGTGGCCGACGTGAACGACAACGCGCCGGCGTTCGCGCAGCCCGAGTACACGGTGTTCGTGAAGGAGAACAACCCGCCCGGCTGCCACATCTTCACGGTGTCGGCGCGGGACGCGGACGCGCAGGAGAACGCGCTGGTGTCCTACTCGCTGGTGGAGCGGCGGGTGGGCGAGCGTGCGCTGTCGAGCTACGTGTCGGTGCACGCGGAGAGCGGCAAGGTGTACGCGCTGCAGCCGCTGGACCACGAGGAGCTGGAGCTGCTGCAGTTCCAGGTGAGCGCGCGCGACGCTGGCGTGCCGCCCCTGGGCAGCAACGTGACGCTGCAGGTGTTCGTGCTGGACGAGAACGACAATGTGCCCGCGCTGCTGGCGTCTCGGGCTGGAGGCTCTGGCGGGGCGGTGAGCGAGCTGGTGCCGCGGTCGGTGGGCGCGGGCCACGTGGTGACGAAGGTGCGCGCGGTGGACGCCGACTCGGGCTACAACGCGTGGCTGTCGTACGAGCTGCAGCCGGCGGCGGGCGGTGCGCGCAGCCCGTTCCGCGTGGGGCTGTACACGGGCGAGATCAGCACGACGCGCGCCCTGGACGAGGCGGACGCTCCGCTTCAGCGCCTGCTGGTGCTGGTGAAGGACCACGGCGAGCCGGCGCTGACGGCCACGGCCACCGTGCTGGTGTCGCTGGTGGAGAGCGGCCAGGCGCCGAAAGCCTCCTCTCGGGCGTTGGAGGGCGCCCCGGGCCCGGAGGCTACTCTGGTAGATGTCAACGTGTATCTGATCGTCGCCATCTGCGCCGTGTCCAGCCTGTTGGTGCTGACGCTGCTGCTATACACGGCGCTGCGGTGCTCTGCGCGACCCACCGAGGTCGCGTGCGGACCTGGGAAGGCCACTTTGGTGTGTACCAGCGCGGTGGGGAGCTGGTCGTACTCGCAGCAGAGGCGGCAGAGGGTGTGCTCTGGGGAGGGGCCGCCCAAGACCGACCTCATGGCCTTCAGCCCGGGCCTACCTCCTTGCCCGGGTTCTGCAGAGGGAACAGGCCAGAGTGAAGCCGATTCAGAACATTTGAAAGAGGTAAGCTCGTATTTTTAAAAGTTCGTCTTACTAAATATTTTAGCTTTCTTTACATTAGCTGTTCATTTAAGATGTCTTCAATCCCAATTTTTTTTACAGATTATTCTTTAGTTTAATTATAATTTTGCTGTTCATTATCATATATAACATTGACATTATAGTGTGAATCTTAAATCAGAAGTCATAATGAAATGCACAAAACAAGAATACTTTGTTGTATTCTTAAAAGTTTTAAGTATTTATTGCATATGTGAGCATTTACCAAAAAAGCCTCACGTTGTGAGAATTTAAACATTAAAAAATTTTTCTTTTAAGGAGACTAATCATAATAATTTAAAAATCTTTGTATTTAATCTTTTTATTTAATTTGTACACATGCCCACGTACATGTACTATTTTAAAGAGCTCCATAAATTTTCACATAAATACCTTTTTACAGTACATTATTATTATTTAAAAATCCTTTTTTTGGTTGGTCCCTCCTTTTTTGTCCTCTAGATGCATCAGTGCTTCCCTCTCAGGTGTTCAATATGAGATATCTTGTGATTTTCCTTTCACATTTTTATTTGCACTCAGATAATTATTCATACACATACAACCTAGTGCTTTGTTTGCCGTTATTGTTTCTTTTTGAGTTTGACATGTATTATATATTTTACATTTCTCAGTTACCCATATATTTTCAGAATCCCTGCAAATCTGATACTTTTAATAGCTGTGTAGTATTCCATGGTGTGGATGTATCATTACATATTCAGTTATTCACCTATTGATGGGCAACCACTTTTTTTCAAGTGTTCTTTTACCTTTATTAACCATGCTGTGCTCTCATTTTACATATTTCTGAAAATATTGGTGATTTTACTTTTGTAAAATTGATTCTCAGATGTGTAATTAATACATCAAAAAGTATAACTTGAGTTTAAAATATGTTGTTAGATTGCTTTCCAAGAATTTTCTAGTACTTTAAATTTCCACCAACCAGTTATGAGCATTCTTTCCCCTTTATGTCCAGAAGCAACAGAGGTCTTAATTTCTGCCAATGTGATCTCTATAAAATAATCTCTTGTTGTTACTGTAATTTTAATTCCTATATACCACCAATGAATCTGGCACATTGTCATGTGTATTTTGTTGATTTAGACTTGGTTTTCTTTGATTTATCAATTACTTGCCCATTTTTTAAAAAATTTTCAATTTGGGAAATTTTCTGTGTGATGTAGACATTAAATCTTTATCTGCCATCCACCTTACAGATGTCTTTTCCTTTTATATCATTTGTATTGGTTTGTTTACAGTATATTTTATCATATAAAAGGATTTAAAATTTATATATTAAAATATGTCTATTTTTCTTTTATGGATTTTAAGGTCTGCAGGTTTAGTTAGAAAGGTCTTACCAACTTCTATGTTAAACATTCATTTATTAAATTTAATAAATACTTATTGTGTTCTCTATGTGCCAGGCATGTTCTACACATTGGGGATTTAGCAATGAAGTTCATTCTTCTGTGAAAATCCAAATTTCTATTTGGTGCCCTTTTCCTTTGTCTGAAGAATTTCTTTAATATTTATTGTAGTGCATGTGTTCTGGCAACAAATTCACTTTGACTTTGAGAAAAATCATTTCATTTTCATTTAAAAAAAAATTTAAAGATGACTGGTAAGGGGATCTTAACCCTTGACTTGGTGTTGTCAGCACCACACTCACCCAGTGAGCAAACTGTCCATCCCTATATGGGATCCGAACCCACGGCCTTGGCACTATCAGCACTGCACTCTCCCGAGTCAGCCACAGGCCAGCCCTCATTTTCATTTTTGAAAAAATATTTTCACAGAGTATAGTTGAAAAGTTTTTAAAGGTATCATTCCATTGTCTTCTGACTTGCATAGTTTCTGACAGGAAGCTTGCTGTCGTTCTTATCTTTGTTCCTCTGTATACATGTCTTCCTCTTCACTCCTTGCCATGGTTGGTGTTAAAAATTTCCTTTTTATCGCTGATTTTCACAAATTGATTATGATATGCTTTAGCTGATTTTCTTCACGTTAGTCCATTTGGGATTTGTTGATATTCTTGGACCTGTGGGTTTGTCATTTTTATCAATTTGGGAACATTTTAGCCATATATCTTTGAATATTTTTTTCTTCCCTTTCATCCTTTCTTGGACTCCAATTACATGTATATTAGACTAATGTTGTCCCACAGGTTGTTGAAACTTTGTTCATTTTTGTTCATTTTTCCTCTCTCTGTGCCTCATTTTGGATAGCTTTTATTGACATATTTTCAAGATTTTTGAGTTCACTTATCTTTTCTTTTGTAGTGTCATATTTGTTAATCCTAACCAGTACATTTTTTCCTTCAGATGGTGTATTTACTGTTTTACCTGTGTAAGATCCCATTTGAGTCTTTAAAACTTTATTTTATTTATCTCCACATAATGTTCCTCATTTGTCTATATTCTGGAGCATATAAATATATTTATAATACAATTTTTAACATTCTTGTCTGCTAACTTCAACATTTTTGTCATTACTCAGTTTGCTTCTTTTGATTGATTTGTCTTCTTGTGTGGATTATATTTTCTTGTTTCTTTGCATGACTGGTAATTTTTGATTAGATGGCAGACATTGTGAATTTTATGTTGTTAGGTGCTGGAGTGTGTGTGTGTGTGTGTGTGTGTGTGTGTTTTCCTTTAAAGCAGTGGTTCTCAACCAGAGACAGTTTTCCCCCCAGGGGATAATTTGGAAATGCCTAGATACATTTTTGATTGTTACAAATGGGAGATTGCTACTGGCACATAGTGATAGAGGCCAAGGATGCTGCTAAACATCCTACAACACAAGGACAGCCCCCACACCAAAGAATAATTCAGTTCAAACTGCCAATAGTACTGCTGTTGAGAAACTCTCCTTTAGAGTCTTGGACTTAGCTCTGACATGAAGTTGAGTTGCTTTGAATCAATTTGTTCCTTTCAAAGCTTGATTTTAAGCATTGTTAGTGCACATTCAGAGCAGCTCTTAGCTTAGGACTAATTTGGTCCTCTATTTAAGCAATACTCTCCTGAGGACATTACTTGATGCTCTGTGTAGTTAAGAGGTCTCTGTTCTCTGGTAAGAATGGGTAATGTTCCCAGCTCTTTGTGAGCTCTGGGAATTATTCTACCTACTGCCTCCAGACATGGAAATGGGGGCAATCTTAGGGTTTGTTTCATTTGTTTCCCTTCTTTTGAGGATCATAGTCTTTCCTTACCTATTTTCTGAAAACAGTTGCTTTATATTTTGTGCAGTTTTCTAATTATTTATCATGCAAGAACAAACAGAAGTCTGTACATTATCTTATATCATTGCATAATATCTCTCTATCCTTTTTGTTTCTTTCCAACTTATTAATAACAAGCTGTTAAATATTGACAAATCTCCTGTTTTAAAATTTGAATTTGCTTGAGATCTGTTTGTCCATCCCTATATTTTCAACCTTTAATTATTACTTTAAGTACATTTCTTATAAAAGCATATAACTAAATTTTCCTTTTTTAAACTTAATATGATGCCTTTTTTAAATGTAGAATTTAGATCATTTAGGTATAGTACAATGCATGATAAACTTGATTATATTTCTTCCATTTTACTCAGTGTTAGTTATTTTACATTGTTGTTTCCTCTTTTAGTTCTCTTGTTTTGATTAATACTTATTACCTTCCCTCTTTTAATTTGGAAATTTTAGTGTAGTTTTTGTTTCCAATAATGGGCATGTTATTTTTCCAGTTATATTTGTTTTAACATTTTGATTCTGAAATATAACATATTTACTGAAAAGTGATTAAACACACACATATGTAATTTAATAAATGTTTATAAGTCAAACATGCTGTAACCTCAAAGAACTAGAAAATATCTGGCACCTCAGAAGCCCTCTGCATGTTTTTTCTTATCACAACCCTTCCAGTTTCCCAGTGGTAACCACTTTGTTGACTATAATGGTAATCATTTCTTTAGACTAGATAATTTAGTTTTCCCTATTATAGAACTTAATATAAGTGGATTTTAAAGTATATCTTTAAAGTATGTCTCCATGTCTTTGTCATTTCATCCAGTATTATGTTTGTAAGACTTTTTTGTGTTGTGTTATATAGCTGTGTATTAGTCTTTTGGGAGACACATATTGGGGGACACATTTAACCCATAGAATGCCACCCCTGACCCCGAAGTTTATGTTCTTCTCACATGTAAATACATTCATTCCATCCCCAAAGTCTTAACTTGTTTCAGCTCAAAAGTCCAAAGTGTCATCTGTGAAATTAAACAAGTTATGTACTTCCAAGATACAACAGGGGAACAGGCGTAAGACAGAAATTCATTCCAAAATGGAGAGGTGAGATGAAAGAAAAGGGTAACAGGTCCTACCCCTTTTTTGCATGTTTGAAACTCAGCAGGGCGGGAATTAAATCTTAAAGCTGGTAAATAATCTACCTTGATTCCATGTTTGCTATCCTCTGCACACTGGTGTGGGGGTTGGGCCTACAATGTCTTGGGCAGCCCTGCTCCTATGACTTTCCTGGGCTCAACCCATTCTTCAGCTCTCCCAGGCTGGCACTGCATGTTGGTAGCTCTACAATTTGGGGTCTCAGTGGTGGTCCTGCTTCCATGGCCCCTGGGCAGGTTTCTCTGCTGCAACTCTGATCCCATATTTCCTCTTGGCATTGCTCTACTGAAGGCTTTCTGCAGTGACTCCACCCCTTGAGAGATTTCCTCAGTCCCCAGGCTTTTCCATTCATCCTTTGAACTTGGGGTGGAGGCTCCCATGCCTCCACAGCTCTGGCATCCTGTGAGCCTGCAGAGGTAACAGCATGTGGATATCACCAATGTTTCTGGCTTGTATCTTCCAAAGCAGTGGGTTCAGCAGCACTTGGGGCCAATTTACCTACAGCTGGAGCAGTAGGAGCAGCTAGGGTACAGGGAGCAGCATTCCAAGGTGGCCCTGGGCAGTTAGCCCATGGAGG